TATTGTTATTCTGTGTGTGATTTGGTTTGGTTCGTTAGCACCTATGTTATGTTTTAGTATTGCACTGCATTTATGTATTGTTAGTATTAATAAATTATATTGTTTTATAACATATCTGAAGCCTGCGTTTCCCTGCGTCAGTTCACATACCTCTGGTCATACCCGAGCCCTAACATTACGCCAAGGCCAATCCTGACCAGAAGTGGCTGACTTCTCCTGTTTTGATCCCTGGCTTGTGACCCCGACCATTCTCTGCCTGACCCCTGTACCTACCTGCCCGTTAGTTTGCTGTACCCGGCTCGTGACCTTACTACTCTCTGCCGCCTGCTCCTCCTGTTCCTACCTGCCTGATTGTTATTGACCCGGCCTGCCTGACTAACGCTTGCATTGTATGTATTGTTATCTGTGGGTGGTTTGGTTTGGTTTGGTTCGTTTGCGCTGTGTTATGTTTTAGTATTGCACTGTGTTTTATGTATTGTTAGTATTAATAAATTATATTGTTATATAACATATCTGAAGCCTGTGTTTCCCTGCGTCAGTTCACATACCTCTGGTCATAACCCAGAGCCCTGACAACACTGCTGAAAGAAACTGTTGCTATGGAGGGGCTCCTCCTTCAGAAACTCTTAAGTATAAAGTTTCCTGCTTGTAGGATCATAACCCCCTGCTATCAGACTGTACAGATAGTTTAGTTAGTGTGAGGGTTTGTTTTTGGTTTTTCTCAAGGTTCATCATGGACAGTTATCCTCCTGCTCAAATATAACTTTCCTTTGGGAAGTTCGGGTTTCATTAAAAAAAAAAAAAAAGTCATACTCAGAGGCATTTCTCCCGACAGCTCCAAGACTGAGAACTGAGCAATAATCAAACACCACTGATCGCTCAGCTCTCAGTCTTCAGTCACCGTCTCTCTGCTCTGCCCTCCCCCCCTTACCGTGCTTACTGGAGCACTGGACTGTAGAGGGGGTGGGAGTAGCTGGCTCAGGCTCTCAGAGAGGCTGAGACAGCTGCTGGTTCAGGCATCTGGGTGGATCCCAACCATATGGTTGGACTCTTTTCAGAGCCTGGACCAACTCTGTGATGTCCAGCCTGTCGGACATCAGTTTTTTCTTTTTGGTTTTAACACCTCATGAGATTATTATTATTATTATACAGGATTTATATAGTGCCAACAGTTTGCTCAGCGCTTTACAATATAAAGGGAGACAATACAGCAACAATACAGTTCAATACAAGAGGGTTAGGAGGGCTCTGCTCCTTGGAGCTTACAATCTAAGAGGAAGGGGCTGGTGGTGAAAAAGGTAATAACTGTGGGGGATGGAATGGTAGGAGGAATAGAAGATTCCGTTATTAGCTGAAGGCAGGATAGGCTTCCCCAAAGAGATAGGTTTTTCAGAGATCGCCTAAAAGTGGGCAGAGTAGGTGATAGTCTGATAGATTGGGGTAGGGAGTTCCAGAGGGATGGGGAGGCTCTGGAGAAAGTCCTGGAGATAAGTGTGGGAGGAGGATACCAGAGAGAAGCTAGAGAGTAGGAGGTAGTGGGAGGAGCGGAGAGGACGGTTTGGGTGATATTTGGAGACAAGATTGGTGATATAATTTGGGGCAGAGTTATAAAAATTGTTTTATATGTTATTTGTTAATGTTTTGAATTTTATTCGTTGGGCAATGGGAAGCCAGTGGAGGGTTTTGGCAGAGAAGGATGGCAGATATGGAATGGTTAGTAAGGTGGATGAGTCTGGCAGCAGCATTCATGATAGACTGAAGAGGGGATAGCCTGCGATTAGGTAGGCAATGAGGAGGGAGTTACAATAGTCAAGGCGAGAGAAAACCAGGGAGTGAATAAGTTGCTTAGTAGTTTCAGAGGTTAAGAACGGGCGTATCTTGGAGATGTTGCAGAGGTGAAGTCTACAAGATTTGGGACAGTGATTGGATTTAGGGCTGAAAGGACAGATGGGAGTCTAGGATTTTACCTAGTACCCTGGCATGAGGGGAGGGACTGATGGTTGTATTATTGATCTTGATGGAGAAGTCAGGGGAGGGGGCACGGGCTGGAGGGAATAGTATGAGCTCAGTGTCAGGGCTCCCAGGTATGACCAGAGGTGTGTGACTGATGCAGGGAAACGCAGACTTCAGATATGTGATAAACAATACAATTTATTTAACACTAACCATACAAACATAAACGCAGTGCAATACTAAACATAATACAGTGCAAACAAAACCAAACCAAACCACCCACAGATAACAGTACATACAAGCAAGCGTCGTCAGGCAGGCCGGGTCAATATCAATTGGGCAGGTAGGGTACAGGGGGAGCAAGCAGAGAATGGTCGGGGTCACAGGCCAGGTTCAGCAGGTAGCAAGCAGCGTAGTACAGAGGGTCAGGCAGAGGGATGGTCAGGGTCACAAGCCAGAAATCAAAACAGGTAACAAGCAGCGTAGTACAGAGGTCAGGCAGAGGGACAGAAACAGGATGCAGGACAGATACAGGGCCCAGGACAAACACAACACCAAGGCAGAGTCTGTGGGTCTGGCCATCCCTTAAATACCCCAGCATCATCAGTTCCAGGTGTAGCTGGCTGAAAGGTTGAGATCTTATTGCTGGGAGATAGCTATGCACCCGCTGGCCAGCCCTGGTACTGCAGATCAAAAGGCAGGTGAGTCCCACCATTGCTGGCCAGTCCATTCCTAACAGTACCCCCCCCCAAGGAGCGGCCCTCAGGACGCTCCAAACAGTCCTACCTGGGCAAAATGTTCCACCGCCCGGGTCTGGTAACTGGCGGGATATCAAAGACTGGCACACCGGGCAGGACTCCGGGCAGCGGCACACCGGGCTGGGACTCCGGGCAGAGGCACACCGGGCTGGACTCCGGGCAGAGGCACATCGAGCAGAGGCACACCGGGCAGAGGCACACCGGGCAGAGGCACACCGGGCAGAGGCACATCGGGCAGGACTCCGGGCAGAGGCACATCGGGCAGGACTCCGGGCAGAGGCACATCGGGCAGGGACTCCGGGCAGAGGCACATCGGATTACCAGGCGAAGCAGCAGGCAGCGGGCCACCAGGCGGAGCAGCAGGCAGGCACGGCCCCCGGGCGGAGCAGCACAGGCACCGGGCGGGCCCCGGGTGGGGCGGCGGGCGCCGGGCCCCCAGGAGGGGCGACAGGCATCGGGCCCCCAGGCGGAACGACAGGCATCGTGCCCCCAGGCGGGGCGACAGGCATCGTGCCCCCAGGCGGGGCGACAGGCATCGTGCCCCCAGGCGGAGCGACAGGTCTCGGGCCCTCAGGCGGAGCGGCGGGCGCCGGACCCCCAGATGGAGCGACAGGTCTCGGAGCCCTCAGGCGGAGCGGCGGGCGCCGGACCCCCAGGCGGAGCGACAGGTCTCGGGCCCTCAGGCGGAGCGGCGGGCGCCGGACCCCCAGGAGGAGCGACAGGTCTCGGGGCCCTCAGGCAGAGCGGCGGGCGCCGGACCCCCCGGGAGCGACAGGTCTCTCGAGGGCGCCGGACCCCAGGCGGAGCGACAGGTCTCGGGCCCTCAGGCGGAGCGGCGGGCGCCGGACCCCCAGGCGGAGCGACAGGTCTCGGACCCTACAGGGCGGAGTGAGGGCGGGCGCCGGACCCCCAGGCGGAACGACAGGTCTCAGGCCCCCAGGCGGGGCGGCGGGCACCGAGTCACCAGGCACAACCGTGGGCTCCGAGTCAACTGGGATGACCGCTGGCACTGGGTCAGACATTGGATCGTCTGGCTGGACAGCGGGCATATCGGGTCACCAGGCATCAGGTCATTTGGCTCGACAGCGGGCACCGCGTCATCTGGCAAGGCAGTGGGCTCCGAGTCAACTGGTATGACCGCGGGCACTGGGTCAGACATTGGATCGTCTGGCTGGACAGCGGGGCACTGGGTCACCAGGCATCAGGTCATTTGGCTCGACAGCAGGGCACCGCGTCATCTGGCAAGGCAGTGGGCTCCGAGTCAACAGGCACGACAGTGAGCACCGGGTCACCAGGTACCGGATTGTCTGGCTCGACAGCGGGCATCGGGTCACCAGGTATGACAGCGGGCACTGGGTCACCAGGCATCAGGTCATTTGGCTCGACAGCGGGCACCGGATCAGGTACCGATCATCTGGATCAACAGCAGGCATCGAGTCAACTGGCCTAATAGGATCGTCAGGCTGGATCAGTTCATCATGCTGGGTAGAGGCATCAGGCTGAATGCCGGCGTCCGGCTGAGTAGAGGCTTCAGGCCGAGTAGAGGCTTCAGGCCGAGTAGAGGCTTCAGGCCGAGTAGAGGCATCAGGCCGAGTAGAGGCATCAGGCCGAGTAGAGGCATCAGGCCGAGTAGAGGCTTCAGGCCGAGTAGAGGCATCAGGCCGAGTAGTGGGCTTCACGGACGAGTAGAGGCTTCAGGCCGAGTAGGAGGCAATCAGCCGAGTAAGGCAACAGGCCGAGAGGCTTCAGGCCGAGTAGAGGCATCAGGCCGAGTAGAGGAGCCGAGAGGCTTCAGCCGAGTAGAGGCATCAGGCCGAGTAGAGGCTTCAGGCCGAGTAGAGGCATCAGGCCGAGTAGAGGCTTCAGGCCGAGTAGAGGCTTCAGGCCGAGTAGAGGCATCAGGCCGAGTAGAGGCTTCAGGCCGAGTAGAGGCATCAGGCCGAGTAGAGGCTTCAGGCCGAGTAGAGGCTTCAGGGCCGAGTAGAGGCATCAGGCGAGTAGAGGCTTCAGGCCGAGTAGAGGCATCAGGCCGAGAAAGTAGAGGCTTCAGGCCGAGTAGAGGCTTCAGGCCGAGTAGAGGCCTTCAGGCCGAGTAGAGGCATCAGGCCGAGTAGAGGCTTCAGGCCGAGTAGAGGCATCAGGCCGAAGAGAGGCATCAGGCTGCATACAGGCATCAGGCTGAAGAGAGGCATCAGGCTGCATACAGGCATCAGGCTGAATAAAAAAAAAAAAAAAAAAAAAAAAAAGAGAGGCATCAGGCTGAGTAGAGCAGCATCAGGCTGAGTAGGCATAGAGCATCAGGCTGAGTAGAGGCATCAGGCTGAGTTGAGGCTCAGGCTGAGCCACGGAAGGCAGGCTCACCAGACCCGTTTGGATACTGGCAGGATGGTATTGGTTTGGAAAGAATTTTCGCTTTTTTCTGGTTTTAAACTAACTGGAGCCACTGCAAGTAAATGCAGGTCTGCAAACGAATGGAGCAGCTGGAGACAGAGAAGAACTGGAGGATGGAACAGGAGAGGGTCGTGCGGATTGCTACAGAGGGGGTTGGGCTGCTTTTACAGGGTTAAAGGCAGGATAGGTGCACCGAGTTAGCGAGTGGGAACAGGGGTACTGACATGCGGTAGATAGCAGGGCAGGAGGAGCTGTTGGGGACAATGCAGGAATAGAGTTTTGAGTAAATAGATTAGAAGCTTAGGACTGGGTCTTTGTAAGCTGACTGAGGGCTCTGGGTGCAACAAATCTGTCCATGTCTGCAGTATGGGTTGAACAAAGCTGCTTACACAAAAGCCTGTCTGGTCAATGACTGTACTGCGTTTATACAAAGTCTCTTAGTTGTGTCTGTGTGTGAAACATGTGGAATAACGCTCCCAGAAAGTAACCCACATCATCCTCTAATAACCACACCAGGGACTCTACCTGGTCTGCACTAAATGGTGGCAAAAATTCATCCCTGGCCATTCGGGGTGAACCAGATGAAACCAACTCAGCACCAAATCCTCAATCAAAAGTGGCTGGCACCTCAGAGAACTCTTGTTCCGCTGATCTACGTAGAAACATGAGCGAGCCGTATACATTATAGCTGTTCATCCCGCGGGTTATACTCCTTCAGAGTTTGATAAGCATACTCCCCTGTTCATCAAACACTAGCAGATATATAAATATTCAACCAGGAAAAAACTCATCAAGGATCCATCCTTCTCATCAACAAGCCCCAAGATGGCTTCCCTGTGCAGCCACTTCTGGTCAGGATTGGGCCTTGGTGTAATGTCAGGGCTCCCAGGTATGACCAGAGGTGTGTGACTGATGCAGGGAAACGCAGACTTCAGGATATGTGATAAAACAATACAATTTATTAAAACTACTAAACCTATACATAACATAAACGCAGTGCAATACTAAACATTAATGACAGTGCAAACAAACCAAACCTCGAAACCAACCCACAGATATGTACAAGTACATACAAGCAAGCGTCGTCAGGGCAGGGCCGGGTCAGTCAATATTCAAGGTTGGGCAGGTAGGTACAGGGGGAGCAAGCAGAGAATGGTCTTGGGGTCTCACAGGCCAGGTTTCAGCAGGTAGCAAGCAGCGTAGTACCAAGGGTCAGAGCAGAGGGTTTTATGGTCATCAGGTGTCAAAAGCTCAGAGATCAAAACAGGTAGAAGCAGCGTTTAGTACAGCGTATACAGAGGGTCAGGCAGAGGGACGAGAAACAGGTGGCAGGACAGATACAGGGCCCAGGACAAACACAACACCAAAGGCAGAGTATGCTGTGGGTCTGGCCATCAGCTTAAATACCCCAGCATCATCATCAGTTCAAGTGTTAGATGCGACTGAAAGGTTGAGTCTCTGATTGCTGGGAGCACCGCTGGGCTGACATGACCCTGTACTGCAGATCAAAAGGCAGGTTTTCAGGTGAGTCCACCATTGCTGCCAGTCCTATTCCTAACACTCAGTTTTGGAAAGATACTGGAGCCTTTGAGGAAGTGGCAGTGGACATCCATGCACGATATGTCACTTTAGTAGGTAAGGTTAGTAATGCCGGGAGGAGAGGAGGACTGAAGGGGCGTGAGGTGAGAGTAGAAAGATAGATTTGAGATATTGAGAACATGGCGCGTGTGTCATCTGCATAGAGATGGGTACTTAATAGCCATGGGAGTTATATTCAAGTGACCAAGGGTGGAGGTGTAGATGGAGAGAGAAGGGGTCCAAGGACAGAACCTTGAGGGACCCTACAGAAACAGGAAGTGGAGAGGAGGAGACAGAGTTATAGGTAACAGCTAAAGGAGGCGCTTTGTCCTAAAGTAATGCTAGCGCTTGATGAATAAGTTGGAGGAGACATAAGGAAAAAGCCTGAGTCTCGTATGGCCAAGGTACTGTTGGATGTTTGGTAATGAGGAGAGAGGGGTTATGGTCAACAATTATGCGAAGGATGCCACAGAGATGAGCGCACAGTAGTATAGTTGTATAGAGTAGTGGCCCATTGGTTTTTTTAGGCAGTTAGTAAATCGATTTTTAGTTGAGTTTGAGTTTAGGGCAGTTTCAGTGGAGTGTTGTAGGAGCGAAAGCCTGCATGTATAGGGTCAAGAAGGTTGTCAGTGATGGTAGGCGCACGACTCAGGCGGTATTGTAGACTTAAGCGTTCGAAGAGGTTTAGAGGTTAGTTGGTTAAGGTGTGGAGGGGGGGGGGGGGGTGTCCAAGCTAAGGTTTTTTAAGTTATGGAAAGTGATGTGGGCATGCTTTTAGCACGAGGGTGGGGCGAAGGCAAACCATTAGGAGACAAGGAAAGATTGTAAGAATGTCGAGCGTTTCTTTTGTGTGAGGGAGCATAAGATAGACAGAAGGATGGTGATTCGTAGTTAGTTGTATGAGGGGACAGGTTCCAAGGGCAGGTGGTGAGAACGGGCTTCTGATCGTCATAATAAATTTTTCGTGACCTCGATCAGTCATTAGCAAGGTCTAAAAGAAGGAAGTTGTTGAGGGAGGCTTTGTTATGAAAGTATGCTAGGGGAGTGGAAGGGATGGAATGATTCTGGTGGGCAGCTGAGAAATTAATGCCCCTGTGCGAATTGCATCCAAATCTTGTATTCTATAAATGGTTTGCAATCTTGTATTGAGGCAGTGAGTGTGGTAACTGGGTCTGGAGGGGCTTAAGAGACTATAGCCGTTGCACCTGGACTGATGTTATGTGGCGGTATAACCAAATAATCTCAGCAAGCATTCACCCTATATATTTCTGATATTCTTGAACATACAATTCCTCCCTCATTGCACTCCGATTCCTTCCAAACAAGCTACTTTGTATCAACTCTCAGTATATAATAGCCTTGTCATTAAGATCTTCGTGGTGTCGTCTCAGTCTGTCTAGGTTGTAATGGTCGGGGCCTGATTGTTCCGTGTAGTTTAGTTAGAGTGAGCAAGTGAGTCTAGTATTGGATTAAAGCGAATCTAATTGTAGACAGCAAGTGGTTCCAGTCCCAGGGCAGTCAGGAAGATTGGGTCTGTATAGTGTTTATTGCCCTTGATGAGTGGAGAATACCATCTATCAGGAAATCCTGATTCGATTCCTGGCTGCTGGGATCTCGGCAAGCTTGTTGTGACGGGATATCCATGGCCCCCAAGTGCACATTAAAACAAAGTCCTATTGGAGGAAACAATGTTTTTTGTATTTTCACATTGTATGGAAGTTAGTTAAAGTATATTGGTTTCTCTTTTTTTAGCTGTATTGAACCCTGTTTGTGCTAAGTGATGGGAAAAGTTTTTTAAGTACAGTTCTACACTGTATGTTAGGTAGGATGGAAGTGAATTAGTAAGCGAAGGGGCACCCAGTGTCATGGATGGAGAGTGGGAAAGGAGGGGGGAGGGAGTGAAAGGAGAGAGGCAGGGTAGGTAAAAAGCTAGAAACAAAATGAGAAAAACCACAAAACATTTTAAAATCCATCTGTATGGCATAAATGTTAAAAAATTAACCATCTCCCAACACCACCTCATATCTGATCACGTATGGTTAGAAAAAAAACCAAATCTAGTGTATAGCTATCTTGGAGATGGTCCGTTCTTCACAGGTGTCCGAGATCACTGCTACAAGTAGAGTGTGGATAATTCCCAGTGGCGGCTAGCCAGCAGAGGGGAGCACTCTCTCTCTAAGAGGAAGGAGTGATTGAGAGGGTTTAAACATGTTGGCACAATGCGAATTAAAAACGCAGTCCTTGTAGGATGATCACTGTGTCAGTGAGAGGGGACTGGATGAAGGGACTCAGGTGGAGTATAGCCACTGTTCTGCTGCTCTGCTTCCTCCAAATGCTTACAAAAGCGATTGGGCTCTGAGCTGTTGCTCTGACAAAAACCCCAGGAGGACAAGTTGTCAACCAGACAGGCAGGGTGTTTGGATCCCAATCAGATATGGTCTATTTCCCTGTCAAGAGCCTTTAGGCCCACTCCAAGTCGGTCACTGTTGGGTCCATAGGAGATATCCAAAGTAAACCCCGGTGCTTACAGTTACCCCCCAAATC